ACACCCGCACACCCCGCCGCCACTTTCCACCTCCCCTCCCTGGTTGATTTTTTTCTTTTTTAACCGTGTCTGCACATTTTTGGGGGATACTGGACGCCATGTTGTGGAAACTAGCAGACAATGTCAAGTACGAAGAGGACTGCGAGGTGAGAGCTCAGGGCGGGCTGGGGAGGGGGGCGCGTTCCGCGGCTGCTGGGATTCGAACCCGTAAGTCGTGCAGGCGAAAGAAAGAGGCCGTGGCTTTAACTCTCTTCAGGCTCCAGCCAGGGAAACCCTGGGATCCTCTGCAGCTCCCTCTGACCAACTTGCCTACTTTCTCCCCCGCTGCCGCAGGCTTCCCCAGGGCCTGCCCGTCCCTCCTCTGCCAAACAAACCGAGGCAAGGCGCTAGTCCCCAGGAGGCGAGTGAATGCAGTGGACGCCTTAATAGTCAAGGGAGAGTCTCCCGGCTACATTAGAAGTCGGGAGGTCTTGCTGCAATTTTGTTTTATCCGTAGCGAAGTCTCCGCGCCAGGGTCCGCGGAGTCGACTGGGTCTTTGTGTCGAACCTCTCTTTTAAATTTATCCGGAGAGGTTGGGATGGTGCAGCCTGGTGAAATCGGCATTGCAACACCAAAGCATGTTTACTCGGAAGTGAGTTCTGCAGGGAGGGAGTTCCTCCTTCATCACTTTGCATACAATTGCTAGTCTGGATGCGTTCTCTGGGCTGGGAGGGAACTCGCCAGTTACAGCCGGGGCCCTGCATGATCTCCCCCCGCGCCCTCCCGCTCAACTAAGTGCCCGGTTCGATTTCAATCGGATTTTTATTTTATTTTATTACTTGCGTGTAAAAACGAGGTTTTGCCTCCCGGACAGCCGATCCCGCTGGCGGTGCTTTCCCAGCGTGGCTCCGACGGATCCCGGCCGAGCCCGAGGGAATTCAGCGGCGCTTGCCTCCGGTCGCGGCGTCTGGGAGAGGCTTTCTCCAGAGTAGTCTTACACAGCCTCCCTCGGCCTCCTGGCCCAGCGAGCTTCGACGGTCGCGAAAGGGTTAAGCCAGGGCTCCTTCCTGCAGCGAGGCCGTCTGAGTCACCGAGGGCGCCACCCCTCCCCGTCCGGGGCTGGCGAAACCTCCCGTGAGAATAATTGCAAATGTCCCCGGCGCTTCCCGCGGAGGGAGGGAGGGGGGGGAGCCCGGCTCCCTCTGCCCAGCGCCCAAGCCCCACGTTAGACGGGAGAGGGGACCCTGCGGACCTGCAAACCGGGAGCCGAAATCCGCGCGCCGCCCGCTGGGCTTCCCTGTCCGTCGAAGAAGCCGAGCTAAGATCGGGCTACGAGAGAGAGAGAGAAATGTGCCTCCTGCAGAGGCTAGCCAGGAGCCCGTGGGAACGCGTCTCCCCCTTCTGCACTCCGTCGCTGTTTTGCAGAGGAGAGGAAATCTTTTGCATGGCAACAGCTCCTCGGGAGAAAGAACTACGGAGGAGGTGGAACCGCGGTGGTTTAGAGCGGCGATCGGGTGCCTGTTGACTCCCAGCCGGCCTTTCCGTGGTGCTCGCTGTGGCGGGGTGCAATCCTGCGCAGCAAGGGAGACGGGGGGGGGCAAACACCAGAGTCGCTGCTGGCGGCAAGCCTCCGCTTGCTTACTCGAAAGTCAGTCAGTCCCACGCTGTAGTCTCCGCATCCTTACTCGGATGTCAGTCCCACGCTGTTTGGTGGCGCTCACTGCCGGGTCCAGCGGGGCAGAGGACTGATTCCCAAGAGAATCCAGGCGGACGCTTATGCCACACCAGAGAGTCGCGCCTCACTGCATTGTGATGCAAAGCGAGTCTTCAAGGTGGTGGTTTTTGTTTGGGGGTGGGAGGGAAGCGTAGATCGCTCGCTCTTAAACGCTCAGAGATAAGACAAGAGAAGCCGTCGGGTAGGATTGACGAGGAGCGGAAGTGATTATTCCCCTGTAGCCTGTTATTTTTTTCCTTCTCCCTCTCCTCCCCTCGTGCGGTTTCCCTCCCCGGGGGGTGGGGGGAGAGAGAGAGAGAAACCCGCCTGCAAACCTTCGCCCACTTGCGCGCCCCGGCTCCAGTCCGCCCACGGGGAGGGAAGAGAAGCGCGCCGGGCCGCTCGCCAGCCTGTCGGACGGGTTCTGCCGGCGAGGAAGGGAGGCCATGCGGGGAGGAAGCGAGGTAGGCAGGTCGGGCCCGGGCAGGCAGGCAGGGGGGCGAGTTGGGGAGGCCCGTCGGGGAGCCGGGAGGCAGCGTGGCGATTCCTCTCCCGGGGGAGGAGGAAGGTTGCCAGAAGGGGGTTCCTGGCCCTTTAAGGAAGGCCGGGGCAGGCCGCGGGTCAACCGGTGCAGCTTTCCACATGGTTCTGTGCCCAGGAGAAAAAGTCACCTGTTGGTAGGTGGGTCGCTGCTCGGTGCTATGCAGGGTTGCTGCGAACGGTGCGGCTGGCTCTCGGGGAGAGGGCGCGCAGGAAAACCGGAAGCTTTCGTAAAAGAAGGAGGGGGGGGTGGAAGGGGAGGATCCCGGGATAGGATCCTAAAAGCCGTTCGTTGAGGTCCCATTTCGTTAAGAGTATATAATTTATGTTCACTTAACACGGGTACCTTTCCCCACACACCCGCCTTCCTGGGAGGACCAGGCTCACGGTCGCCCCTTGTCTCCTGGACAGACAGCTCGCCGGGTGACCTGGGGCCAGTTGCACCTTCCCGGCCTAGCCCACCTCGCAGGGTTGTTGTGAGGATAAGATGGAGGCGAGGAGAACGAGGAAAGCCACTTTGGGTCCCCACTGGGGAGAAAGGCTGGATATAATAATAATAAATATTTTAATGGTTTGTGGTTTGCTTTGAGGAACCGCCAGCAGAGAATTCGGGTAGAATTGACTGCGGATTAAGTTTATTTCCCAGAGTAAATACTGAACCCAATCCTGTGCATGTTTGCTCGGAAGTCCTCCCAGCGACTTCCTCCCAGTTAAATGTACACAAGCTTATAGTCGACAGATCTACGTAAACTTTGGGGGTGGGGAGGTAGGTAGCAGTCCCGTAGTATTTACTTCCGAGGAGGCTCGCAGAATAAATCATGGCCGTTTAAGAGTCTAGGCCCTCGATGTTAAGCCTGCAACTTCCCCTCTTTCCCGGAAATCCCCGGACATCCCTTCAGTAGGACCAGGGCATGTACCCTACTGCAGCGGGGGAGTCTCCACTCCTCAACACACCATTGTCATTGGTGTTGACACGCAGCTTGCGATCCAGGAGCCACTTAACAGGGCGCCACGAGGTCCCCTGGGACTTCTGTTGCTCGCACTGAATTCAAGCCCTGCGGTAAAGCTTCTTTTTAGGGCGCCGAGGATTACTCGCAAGTAGGACTGTTCGGCGAAGGGGACGGCTGAGTTGCAGCCGTTGGAGGCGCTCCAATAAGTGGCTGGCTGTTGAGAGGCCTCTTTGGGGGTCACGGGGGGGGGCTCATCCGGAGTCGAGAGCGTCACCCTAAGCGACCCCTTTTCTCCGCGTAGGTTTGAGTGGATCACATGTGGCCACGTCTAAAACCTCATTCCCAGTAGAAACCTTGAAAAAGGCCCCATGAGATGGGCTGGGGTTGTTCCTGGGTAAATGAGGACAGGCTCGCAGCCGGGGTTCCCTCAGACCGTTTCCCCCCCGCAAACTGCAGGCCGGCTTGCTGGATTCGTTTCCGAGTCGCCGGCGTGGAGCTGGTTTCCTCTGCTTTCGCGTCGCCGCGCTCCGTCTCCAGTGCGCCGGCTTAATCCGGGCCAGGCTGCGATTCCCTTCGAGAGTAAATCCCAGCGGCTGAGCGGGATTTAGCCCCAGAGGAGTGGCAAGAGTAGTAGAAGGGGTGGCAAGGGTAGTAGAAGGAAGCCGAGCCTGCCTCCAACCCCGGAATCAGTTTCGAGCGGCCGGGCGAGATGGCCGGAGGGGAGAACCAGGACGAGCGCCGTGGAGACCGGCACGATGTTCAGGGGGTGAGCTTTGGACAATTAGAACTCCCTTCGTCAGACACGAGGAGGAATGGAGGGAGGGGCAAGAGTACCTCTGAGAGTGCGCAGAGGGCCCCTCCCCCCCCGCAGTCTTCCGGAGAGAGTTTTCCGGCTGGAGAGCCGACGGATATGTGGCTTTTGAGAGTGCTTACAAGGCAGCTCTCTACAGAATTCCTCCGGTGAAAACCCGTTGATTTCAACGAGTGAAGGCTGGGGGAGGTCGGTGTAGAATCGCCCTGGCCGGGGAGCTCGGAATCAATTTCCTTGAAAGTGACTCATGGTTGAACAGAGAGAGGGATGGACTTGGGAGTGAATTGAAACGTGCGTGGTGGGGTCGGGCTCTAAAATATAAGGGCCCCCTTTCCATCCCCTAACGCTCCTCCTGCGTTTGATCCCTTTGACAATTGCAGCGCCCCCCCCCCCGCCTTGCTCGATTGGTCACGGCTCAGCCTCTCCGGCCCCGGCTAGATGGGACTGCCGCGCCGCTTCACGCTCCGCTGGGGTCCCCGCGGCGATCCCCTTTCTCCTCTGATTGACCCGCCCTGTTAGTTTAACGAGCGTGGAGGCAGCAAGCCCGGCTTGAGCCCCCGCGATCAATGCGGATCTCCACGTTTTGAAAGTACGAAGATCGTTCGCTGCAAACTGATTTCCCCTTCGGACCCAACAGCAAAAGTCTTTCTTTCTTTCTTTCTTTCTTTCTTTCTTTCTTTCTTTCTTTCTTTCTTTCTTTCTTTCTTTCTTTCTTTCTTTCTTTCTTTCTTTCTTTCTTTCTTTCCCCCCCCTCTAATTTTTTGGTAGGATATTTTTGTAGCCCCCCTCACCACACCAGCCCATTTTTAACAGGCACCCTGGGCAGAAAGGTTATATTAAATTTTCAGGAGCCCCCAAGGGCAGGAGGAGGGTGGGGTTATTTTAAAATTAAGTTAGCCAAGGGGACAGGACATTTCTTAAGACCCTGGGAGCGGGGGAATTGTACTCAATATGAAACAGAAAATAATAATGATCATGATATAGCAGGCAAACAAATCTTTAGATATAATTTTTTAAAATATGTTTCACAAATATGAATTTGCTGGTAGTAAAAAAAAAGTAGCCCCTTTCATAAATTCAAACAAACAACACTGAAATCACTTCGTGTAACAGGCTGAAAGTGATAACTGTATTTTTCCTTATTTGTCCAGCACTATGAAAAGAAGGGAAAATAACCCGGTTCATTATAGAGAATTTCTGTTTTCAGAACGCACTTATGTGCTTATTTTGTTTTGTGCTTCTGTAAAAAGGAGGCGGTTACTTTCCTACAGGGAGGCAGGTTCTTTCCGTAAGGCTGGATAAACTGACTTATTAAGACATGCAAAAATATAAATAAGTCCTAAAATTGTGTGAGGAAGTCAGATCTCTTTGAAATCAGTGGCACTTGAAAAAGTGTGCATGCACATGGAAGCTCGTACCCTGAATAAACCTTTGTTGGTCGTAAAGGTGCCACTGGACTCTAAATTTGTTATACTTGGGTCTGGTTGCTTTAAAACCAGACTTGAGAGCTGGAGTCCTGTGTATGGCAGGGAGTTCTTGAACTTGATAGGGCTTACCTATGAGTAAACATTTAAGAGTTGGACTGGACAGTGTATACCATGTGAGTGTCTTCTGCTCTTTCTCCTTTTTGGCCCTTTACTCAGTTGACAACATTATCCATCAGGAATGATGATTCATTGAATTTGTAATAAATTGGTTTAAGACTGGGATTCTCGTGTTGAAGCTGGGGGCCGTGGCTTTGATCTGATTGCAGTATTGGGGGTTTTCTGTGTGTTTCAATGAACCCGTTCCCTTCCTTGAAAATATGACCCTTGGTAGGCATTCAAACTTCCGAATCGTTGTTTATTCAAATATGAAACTAATGGGATTTCCCTGTGTGTTTCCCTCTCCCTCCGGCAACGTTAGGCTGTGGTCCCCAAGCAACTAACTCCAGAGAAACTCCATTTCTGTCAGAGGGAGGGTGCTGGGAATGACTCCGATCAAAGGGACACGGGACGCTTTTCCGAATGGCTCCGCTCTTTTGACGCCAGTGGAGCTGTTTCAGATTAGATGGTTTCAGGATTGCAGCAAAATCTTGGGCGAATCTTCCTGAAGCTGACGAAGTTCAACCACGATGCCAGCTACACCCCACACTCTGAAAAGTGCTGTGTGGCAATCTGGTTAATTACAGTGGGTATGACTCGCAGGTTCAGTCCTTAGATCCAGCTGCTTTTTGGAAACTGACTTTGACACCTTAATGTAGCCCCCCCCCTTTAAATTTCTTGGTGAACTGGTTTGGAAAGAGAGGGAGAGAAATTTCCGCCGCCTTACCCAGGGGGGCCTGTTTTTTTTAAAAAAGGTTGCCCAGGTGTAGCCCAGGATCAGAGCCAGGGAGATCCCTCCCCTCTTTAGGTATTCTCCCTTCAGGAACAATGTATCCCATGTGGGTTGTTCTCCCAGCTGTCTGTCTAAACACTGCCTCCCCCAGAATCGAGGATTCCTGGCACTGATCTAGCATCTTTTTTCCCCTCCCCCAGGACCGCCACGATGGGAGCAGCAATGGAAATCCCAGACTACCCCACCTCTCCGCTGTCAGCCAGCACTTGTACAGCCCGGCTCCCCCGCTCTCTCACTCGGGGACCTCCGATTTCCAACCCCCTTACTTCCCTCCCCCCTACCAGCCTCTGCCTTACTCTCAGTCCAGCGACCCTTATGCACACCTCGGGGATCCTTTCTCCATCAACCCACTCCACCAACCGCCTCCGCCTCCTCCCAGCCAGCAGCAGACCAGCTGGCCCAGCCGTCAGACCAGCCAAGACCCTTCGAGCCTGTCCCACCACGCCCGGCCCGGTCTGGTCCCCCATCTCTCTGCTCTGGAAAGCGGCTCTGCTGGGGCGAGGAGGGAAACGTACAGGCGGTCTGAGCTGCTCCTGTCCCACGGCCACGGTCTCGACGCCTCCAGCCTGGCGGAAAATCTCGGCCTGCACGATATGACACAACAGATGGAAGAGGTCCAGGTAAAGATTCTGAACAAAGATCTGGGATTCCTGACAAAAAGAGGGGTGCTTGCGTTCGAAGGTATTGTCCTTGTGTGAGGACAAGCCGTTCCACCATGACTCTCTGAAGGCAGACTACAGAATGTCCTAAAGGGAGGGCTAGTGGATTTGAAAAACAAACACACACAAAAACAGGTTGTCTGCAGTCAGTCCCTCTAAGTTGAATTAGTGTGAGCTAGCTCATGATTTTTTAGCCTCCGGCTCACACATTTTTGCCTTAGCTCAGGAAGGATGGCTCCAGAGCAAACTAATTCATGCAGTAGCCAAATCACTCGCTCACAACTTTAATGTCAGTAACTCACAAATTTTTGCTCACAAGACTCCACAGCTTAGAAGAGGGTTGTCTGTGAGCTCTTACGGGCTGACCTGTTCAAGATAAAGAGGCACGGGGCAAAACACAAGTTCATGGGCTCATACTCCACTGAAGAAACCCAAGTCTGTTGCTCCTAAAAGTGTAGTGATGTTCTTAAAGTGTGGTTACATTGCTAGATTGTGGGTTTAGAAACAACAAATATTGTTCTGTGGTCCAGTGGCCCTAAACCCCAGTGGCAAGGGTCTGCTCTGCATACACACAGACTGAGTATATTGGAAATGTTCCAAAAAGCCTCATGTACATTTCAGTAATCAGACTAGCCCAGAAAGGTAAATTGGTATTGGTGAATGAGGACAGAAACTGACAGCACACTGTCATGCCCAAGGCCACTTCATGGGTTCATTGGTGGAGGTTCTCCATCCAGCCCCATACTCCTTAGAGGAAAGCACTTCTGTAAGTCACATTTAACACCCCACCGGGTCAGAGACTAAAATGGAACCAAAGAGACCCCACTGTGTTCTTTATAGATTTGAATCACTTGGCTGCTTGCAAAGATCTACGGGCTATCGCTGCTCTGTGGATGCCACAGAAAGCTGTACATTGCAGGTTTCTGTGGCAGCAGTGTCATCAAACCAGATTTTCTTCCCACATAAAAGACAGCCCTTGGCATTGGAGTTTAGGGTTATTGGACCGCAGAACTTAACAATATTCCTTGTTCCTAAACCTGCAGTCTAGAGATATAGCTACACTTTCAGGACATTAGAACCATCATGCCTTATGTATAGCTCGGTTGGCTAAACAGTGCATTTAACTCCTGCATGTCTAGGCGCATAGTCTAGGATGTATAAGCCCCTGTTAACCCAATGGTACTTAAGGGTAAGCAAGCATTTGTGGCCTGCAAGTGTGTTTACTGAGAAGTAAGTCCTTTGGATTCCAAGGGGAGCACACTGTCATGTCAAGTAAGCACATCTAGGAGTGCAGCTTTAGAACTGCGCGCTACCATTTCCACTGGCTAGCAAGGTATGGCTAGCATTTTGGGGTTGGCCCTTGGAGCTTCCAGCTTAAGAGCTGGAGGTATGAGATAGCAGGGAAAAGCTTCACTTGGGTTTGGAAGGGGGAACGGGTGGATGACGGATCTTATTTCAGCTCTAAAATGATATTCTAAAAATTTCACATTCTCTTTCCAGAATGTGGAAGACCAACATTTATTAATGCATGACCAGACAGTCATTAGAAAAGGTCAGTAACGTTGCGTTCTGTGGTTGCTTCTTTCTTCTTCCTTTAAAAAAAATCAGTGTTTTAAAACAAATAAAGGATGGCTTAATTGTTTTAGTATTATATTAGCTGATGTGTGGAGTTTTTTTCCTGATGGAAAAAATTAAGAGTTTTTCTTTCAAGTGTGTCCACTTGAGTTGGCATGATATCTGAGGCTGTCATTTCTACAATCCCTTGATTTCAAAGTAGGCAGACTGTGGATTTGGCTAGAATGTATATTTGTTTACAGATTTTATGCAGGAAAAGCAATTTGGGCCCCATAAAGTAGGTTCTAAATGGGTTGTTAAATTTTCTAGTGTTTCCTGGGAGCAATTAATTAATTGTACTTGCTGTGGAATGTTCTTCAGTCTAGCATATGTTACCGGACTACGTCTTTCTGCTGGTCAAAAGTTGGTTCTAAGGCAACCACCTTTGCTACTGAGTTAGTGTATTAACCTAATGCTTTGGTCATGCTGGTTTTGGGAAATGTTCTGCTAAGAATCTACCTATGAAAGTGGAAAGTAACTAATGCTGCTGTAGGTGCTTTTTCATTTTGGATTAATTCCTAATGTGGTCCTTACTGAGTAGCTGTTGCCATACAGATCTCTTCCAAAGGTGCAGGTGGAGTTTTGTTTTTTTACAAAATGAGCATTTTTGATAAGGAGTTTGGGAGAAAAATCTTAAAATTCATGCACACCTTTCTTTGGTGGTAACTTGTGACACTTGTGACGTCAACTGGCTCACTTCAATAAGCAGGAAAGCCAGGAAATACTGCTTGTAAAGTAAAGATCTTGTTCTGCCATTGGCCCCAAAATTTATTTATTTGGTTCCTCCAATATCAAAAACCTAATGTGCTCCTTTAAAAAAAAAAGTTTCAGGTTCTATAGGTTTTAGTTAGGAAGGAGAGGGGGGGAAAGTAAAACTGTCAAATCAGATTTCTGGAATGGGAAGATCAAGAAATTTCTGAAATGGAAAGGAATGGGTTAACCTTGCAGCCCCCATCATGTCTAAATGGATGCTCGAAGGATTTGGTTAGGATTTAAATACACTGAAAAGCTTTCTTTGGTGGTATTTATAAGACCGAGACAGGGGGGAAAAAACAGAGAAATGAACTCCCTCGATTCTGGTACTGACACCTCTCCCCCCAGGTTGTAAAAATCAAAGGGGAGTTTTGTCTTGGGGGGGGGGGGCGACCTGTATGAGAAAAAGCAGAAATGTTTTGCTGTAAACTCTGCTGATTGCAGAATTAGCTCAGGGCAGAAGGTTTTTCATTGCTGTCAGTTTTACCCGCTTTGAGAATCTTCCTTTTTCTTATATCTGGTTCTGTACGGCTTAACTGTTTCCTGTGCTGATTGCTGGCTACAGTTGTTCAGTGGGAAGCAAATTTCTATCGACTTTCTTCCCAACCCCTTCCTGGAACATCTGTTACCAGAAGCATTCCCACTGTTTAAAACTTCCATGATCTTTGCCGCACTAATGATAAGGAATTCTATCCCTTGGGGGTTTTGGGGAGGGGGAGGAGGGTATTTATTAAGAAATTCCAACATTGTTAATCATTTGAATTTGACCCAGCTTAGCATTTTATGGCTGCCATCCTGTACACTGTTACTTAGGAGTAAGTCTCCTTAAGCATAGAATTGAGCTGTAAACCTCATTGAGACAGCAGGTGCTTATCTCTGGAGCTGTCGTTTCCAAGGACTACTTCAGAGGAGAGGTGGGCTTAATAGTATACGTTCAGGTATCGGGTGCATGAAAAACCTCTTTGAGTTGGGGCTAAACAGCCCTTCCTGCTCTTAATGACAAAAATCTATTTGGGTGTCTCTCTTAATGGGTTCATAAAATCCAAAGGATTGACTATGTTTACGATCAGTCTGTGTAGCTGAAAAGAAGTGGATTTTCCTAAGCAAAGGGGGACAAAAATGAAAAACAAAAACCCACCTTCTCTTTTCTGTTGATCTTGGGTTTCTAGGTCCCATTTCATTAACGAAAAACAATGCGTTAGGTCTCCCTTGCCAGAAGGACGGGCTCATCGGAGTGGTGATCAACCCCAACGAAGTGTTCTGCTCAGTCCCTGGACGGCTTTCTCTCCTGAGCTCCACGTCAAAGTACAAAGTGACGGTAGCCGAAGTTCAAAGGCGGCTCTCCCCTCCGGAATGTCTTAATGCCTCTTTGCTCGGAGGAGTTCTCAGAAGGTAGGGCCCCCAGCAGCCCTCTGGGCATTGCAAGCTTCTTCCCTCCCCCCCCCCCCCCCCGGCCGCTTGCCATCAGCACACGTATCTTGCAAGGAAGCCCAGTGATATGATGCTGAACTGTATGTGAATGTTTTTATCTCCCAACGATGCTACGGCTCTGCAGAGAGGGAGGGAAACGCTGCATCCTTAATAGAGTTTATTTTCAAGTTTATGTGTTCTCTCTCTCTGTCTCTCTCTGTCTCTCTCTGGCACCCCTTGAGCTTCCAGAGATGGTGCTATAGCAGTTCTGGAATAAATTTTCATTTCCTTTTTTTAAAAAACAACAACATAATGCTATATTTTTTCTTCTCAGTTGACAGAGCTTCTTGTATCTGAGTCTATCGTTTTCTTTACAGGGGCAATCTCCTCTTCTGTACTAAATGCCCCCTGATTTCTCATGGGCCACCATTTCCAGGGGCACCAGTCCTGACCTGGATGGCCCAGGCTAACCTGATCCCGTCCAGTCTTGGAAGCTGAGCAGTCAGCCCTGGTTAATACTAGAAGGGGAGACCACCAAGGAAGTCCAGGGTTGCTCGTCTCTTGCCTTGAAAACCCTATGGGGGGGTGGCGGCCATGAGTTGGCTATGATGTGGTGGTGCTTTCTGCCACCATGATGTTGGGTTGTTAGCTGATGAGATTTAAAAAAACAAAAACAAAACCCTGCCTTTCACAACAGTTTGATGTGCAGAGATCAGCAGGTGACGTTTCTATCCGTGCTTGCTGATGTCTACGTGTTCAGCTGCAGTTAAAGGTTTGCTCCTCCAGGGGCAGCTGCTGAATCCAGTCACCTGGTTTCTGTAGCAAGAGGTGTAGGGTTCCTTGCTAGGTTCTTGGATAAGTCAGGTTTATTTATTCATTGGACTTAAACCCCACCCTCCCTGTCGAAGCAGGCTCAGGGCGGCTTACATAAAAGTGTTAAAAACAAGTTTAAAACAGACAAAATCTAAAGGGCAAAACAGATCTAAAGGTTGGATCCAGCCAGCGCTTCCACTAGTGAAAAAAGGGAGGAGGGGGGGGAGTACCTTTTGACCACCTAGAAAACTATGGCAGGAAGCATAGGCCTGGCATGGACAGAAGGCATGTGGGATGGGGGCCGTAGGGAGGAGGGGGAAGCTAAATGAAACCGAATGGGAAATCTTGACAGGACCCAACTCACTTGAATGCAGCGTGTTTAAGAGAGTCTTAGCACTGGTTGTCTAGATCATATTAACCAGGGAGGAATAACCAGTTATTAGAGGTTTGAAAAAGTGAAAGGGGGTGGGGGTGGGGGTTAAGCAACGTTCCCTCTAATTCTCCCCCCACCCCAACTGAGCGGAGCAGTTCACATCCTGAGCTTTAATCTTAAAATGGGGAATGGGCAACGCAAGATACTGCCTGGCTCCAGGTCGCTGCTTCCTGGGTTAATGACCAGCCGCTCATTTGCATAGCTTAGAGGGAACACTGGGCGAGAGACATCATTCGGAAGGGCACTCTGGCTTTCAGAGGGCTGTAGTTTCATGTCAAGGAATTAGGATTGCAGCTCTGACTAATACCCAGGTGTATGTGTGTGTGTGTGCTCCCCAAGACAATGAAAAGGTCATTCCATGCTTTTGGAAAGTTTCATATCCATTCTGTCCGTCCCCACAATTTGGCATGATTCGGGGCCATGTGTAGGCAAAACGCCTCTTCCCCCCCCCTCACTCTTTTTGATCTTGCTTTCTGATGTTTATGTGACGGAGCGTTCAAAAGTAGGTCAACCCTTGTTTTGTTTTTTCCCCTCCCCCTGAGACCGTATTGAATGTCAGCAACTTGTATTTTCCAAATTGCTTTGAAACGTGGCCTCTTTTTTTAAAAAAAACCAACAACAGCCAAATAAAAGCATGGTGCGTCTTTCTCTTCTCTTCTCCCCTGCAGAGCCAAATCTAAAAACGGGGGCCGCTCATTAAGGGAGAAGCTGGACAAAATTGGCTTGAATCTTCCTGCTGGCAGAAGGAAAGCTGCAAACGTGACGTTACTGACATCATTGGTGGAAGGTCAGTCTTTTAAAAAAATATCTCTCCCCCCCCCAAAAAAAAAGATTCTCTGGGCAAAGGATCAATGAGAGTAACTTGAGTACCGAATGAAGGTGCCCTCTTGGAATTATTGGGCTGATTTCAGAGATGAGCAAAAACACCCCAAATAATCTGCAAGTGCTAAAATCAGTGTGAGGTTGCTGCCCACTAGAGCCATGCAAAATGTGGATTGTGTATTTGTGTGTGCACGCGCACACATTTGTGATGGAGGTTCCATACAAGAAGGTCTGGATTTGAGGCTGAAATTGTGTCAAAGATATGGCAAGAAACTTTTCACGGAGGCCAGCCTGCAGGTGGGTCCTGGGGATCCCCCGGAATTACAGCTCACCTCCTGACTACAGAGACCAGTCCCCCTGGAGAAAATGGCTGCTTGGAAGGGTGGATTCTATGGCACTGTGCCCCACTGAGGTCCCCATCCTCCCCAGGTTTCATCCCCAAATCTCCAGGAGTTTCCCAACCTGGAGCTGGCAACCCTACCCCCAGCATCCCCCCCTTGGTGGCTGGGGGGGGGGACACCTGGCAATCCTATTTGATGGTCCAAATTACAAATGGCGAGAAACCTTCCTTGACAGTCCAAATTAGAAATGGAATAAATATAATTACATGCTTGCAGATAAGGGCTTCATGTCAAGAACAGCTAGATCTGAGTCCACTAGGACCTTAGCGATCAGCCAAGACTTTTGTGGTGTCAGCTTTCAAGAGTCAAAAGTAGGAATGGAGATCCCTGAGCCTTTATATCCCAGTCAGAAGGTGGGAGGGGCGTTGGCAAAGGAGGAACTCAGGATTGCAGAGGTACAATACAAAATGTCATCAGCTTGATTGGATCAGAGGAGAAAGGCGGTGGGGGCAGAGAACCAGAGAACCGGCAACTTCAGTGAGATAAGTTCGTAGGTCCCTATTCAGCCTGGGGGTGGGGCCTATTGTTCTGAATTTGTGAATGAACTTCAGTCCCACAATCTCTGCATTGTAATTTCCCCTTGAAGCATCTCTGTTTGAGGACTGCCACCCTTAGTTCTAGACTTGAGGCTGAGATCCATCCTCTAAAGTAGGGTTGGTTTAATTTTAATTTACCACCTCCTTGTGATTGTTTAGTTATCGATGTTTACACCCCACTCTCCAAAAATGGCTTACACTGTTCTCCTCTCCTCTATTTTACCTTCTCAACAATGACCCTGTGAGGTAAGTCAGGCTGAGAGAGATAGGGTTGCCAGGCTTTCCCTGGCCACCGGCAGGGGGTAGAGTAGCCAGATCCAGGTTGGGACACTCCTGGAGATTTGGAAGTGGAGCCTGGATAGGACAGGGACCTCAGTGGGGTACACTGCCATAGAGTCCACCCCCCAAAGCAGCTGTTTTCTCCACGGGAACAGATCTCTGCAGTCTGGAGGTGAGCTGTAATTCCGTGGGATCCCCACGTCCCACCTGGAGGCTGGCGTCTCTAGAAGGTGACCCATTAAGCTTCCATGGCCAAGTGGGGATTCTTCCAGATTTCAACTGCTATCCATGTATACCGTCGTCCTCTATTCAAGCAAAGATCAGCAGCTTGTTAAAATCTGGAATATGTGTTTTATCCCTGGAAACCTACTGGTGTCTTTGTCGTAATTCTGATCGATGAGACACCTTCCCCTCCTCTTTTTTTCCTGTATTAAAACTGGAGGCACACTTCATGCAGAGACAGCATGTTTCCTTTTAGGGTCAAGAGCTGGGGGAGCTTGTGCTGTGAATCATGCAGAAGGGCAGCGGGTAGCCCCTCTCCCAGGAGGGAGGGAGCCTTCCCATAGCTTTAGCCCCTCCCCTCTCTCACTTTGCAGGCAGCTTTCAGTATTTCACTAAATGTGTGTTATGGCACGTAGCTTTGGAGTTGCTGCTCGGCTGTGTAATACCTATGGGCCATTGTAAAGCTCAAGTGAAGGGTACCAGAAATTAAGTCAATGGTTTGTTCGCATGCTCAGGGTGGCCCATTCAGTGCTGCAGTGCTGGTGTGAGCCCACCTTTATTGCCTGGGGAAATTGTGCTTTGGAATTGAGATCCCTGGCAGTTCTGCTTGCGTCTGCCACTCTTTGATGAACTCGGTGGTTTGGGTGGAGAGTCCAGAGGCCTCAGAGTGAAGGGTACCAGAAATTAAGTCAATGGTTTGTTCGCATGCTCAGGGTGGCCCATTCAGTGCTGCAGTGGACGGGCTGGTCTGAGCCCACCTTTATTGCCTGGGGAAATTATGCTTTGGAACTGAGATCCCTGGCAGTTCTGCTTGCGTCTGCCACTCTTTGATGAACTCGGTGGTTTGGGTGGAGAGTCCAGAGGCCTCAGATCTGCAGAGTCGCTTTGTGGGTGGGAGTGCCGGAGTCCCGAGTGGTGTTTGTTTGGTTTGAGCTGCCCTCAAAGACGTGGGCGGGTGAGGCGTCGAGCTGTTAGCCATCCGTGCCTGGTTCTCTGAATGTTGGAATCTGTCTTCAGTCAAGCTCCTGACTGCAAAGTGTAATATTTTGCAAGCGCTTGACATCATGCAGAAACAGGCGAAGAGCACTTGCCAGTTATAGGGGAAGAAGCCGGCGTTTGGGTAATGATGGGAGGGGGGCAGGGAGGAGGCAGCTCTCACTTTGCTTGAACACAGAGCACATGGGCTGGTTTCCCCGGGCGTTTCTTGCTGAAGCTACGGTTGCCAGCCTCCAGGTTGGGCCCAGAGATTTCCTGGAATTACAGACTAAATAGATTGCCTGTTTATTTATTTGAACCATTTATTCCGCTTCTCCTGGCGAAAAGGGCTGCTTTCGAAAGCGGATTGCATGACATTATATCCTATCCAGGTCCCTCCCCTCCCTAAACGCCACCTTACCAGGCTCCACCTTCACATCTCCGGGTCGGGTATTTCCAAACCCAGACTTTGCAAAGCTAGCTCAAACACATTCGTGGCTTTGGTGATCAATAGGGAGTGTCCCCTGCTGGCCAACAGGGTGGGGTGGGGTTGCCAGCTCCAGGTTGGGAAACTTCTGGAGATTTGAGGATGGAGCCTGGGGAGGACAGGGACCTTGGTGGGGTGCAATGCTATGGAGTGCACCCTCCCAAGCATCCACTTTCTCCAGAGGAACTGATCTCTGCAGTCTGGAGATGAGCTGTAATTCCGGGGATCCCCAGGTCCCACCTGGAGGCTGGCATCCCTAGCTGCCCTTCAAGAATATTCTGTTGGAGAAGGGGGGCCATAGCTCAGTGGCAGAGCATCTGCTTTGCACGCAGAAGGTCCCAGGTTCAGTCCCTGGCGTCTCCAGTTTAAAAGGGAATAGGCAGTAGATGATAACGAAGTCCTCTGCCTGGGACCCTGGAGAGCTGCTGCCAGTCTGAGTAGACAATACTGACTTTGATGGATCGAGGGGCTGGTTCAGTACAAGGCAGCTTCATGTGTTGGTCAGAGGGTGAGGCTGAGAAGAAATATCCATCTCTTTCCATCCTATTTGAGTTCTATTCATGAACTAATGTGTTATATTGGAAAAGTTTCATCTGCAAAGTTACTAGGGTTGCCAGGGCCTGGAGATCTCCCAGAATTGTAACTGATCTCCAGATGACAGATCAGTTCCCCCGGGGATAAGGAATGCGTTGAAGGGTGGACTCTATATGGCATTATACTCCACGGAGGTGTGTTCCCCTCATCTCCTAACCCTGCCCTCTTCAAGTCTCCCAAGAATGATCCAACCTAGAGCTGACAGCCCCACCCTTTTGAAGGTCTTCATGCCCATCACACCAATTCCTGAACATCTGGGAGTGGCCTTCTTGGATGTCTTATTGTTTTGACTGGATCTTGTTTTATTTTTAAAATCAGGGGGTTGCCATATGCATAGAATGCATAAAATGCGCGCCCATTCCTTGCATTGCTGACCGTGTATGCGTGCCTAGATAAGAGAAGGGAACTGCTGATGTGAGATACACTTCATGTATCTGACAAAAATGGAATGCGAGCCGTGATAGCCGCTAAGTTGGCTAGGCTTTAATATGGTTGCCAACTTCCAAGTGGGGCCTGGAAGCCTCTGGGAATTTCAGCTGATCTCCAGAGCACAGAGATCAGGTCCCCGTGGAGAAAATGGCAGCATTGGAGGGCTCTACGGCACAACACCCTGCTGAGGCCCCTCCCCTCCTAAAACCCCGCCTTCCCCAGACCCCAGATCTTGGGCTTTATCTTGGCCTAATCAGGGAAATCTTTCTCTCCCACTTCCACAGGTGAGGCCGTGCACCTTGCCCGTGACTTCGGCTATGTCTGCGAGACAGAATTTCCTTCGAAAGCAGTGGCTGAATACTTAACCCGGCCACATTTGGGGCGCAATGAGATGGCAAACAGGAAGAACATGCTGCTCGCTGCAAAGTAAGTACCTTTGCTCGAAGGCAAACTTGCCCCCGGGGCACTCTGGAATTTTCAGAGGGCTTCGTAAATGGTCAGGATAAAACCATTGAGAACCAATGCGTGCTCTGAGCTCCTTGGAGGAACAAGGGAATAAAAATATACTGGGGGAGCCCTGTAAGGATATTTATTTGCACGTTGCAGGTGGGGGAGCGGAGCAGCTTGTCTGAGCCCACCTACCGTGCTCCTGAAGCCCCGCCTCTTGTAGCTTTATTGCTCCCAGCCATTATACTGCAGTTGCTGTCTTCCCACATGCCGCAGATCTGATCTCTTGCCAGGATCTCAGTGCAGTTCTCCACCATGTCTTCCCTCCAATTGGTTTTTATCATCTAATGCAAAGGAAACAATTTTGGCAGTGCTATAAAGAGCTGGGGAGTGAGGAAGGCACGCCTTTTGAGATTTCCGTTGGCCCCCAGATCTTCTGTTAAATCTGCCTGAGCATCGTCTCTGCTGTGGGCAGACAATCCAGTTGACAAGGCTGGGGGGATGCAGGTTGTTCCCCTCCTTTCTCCTAGGGTTGCCAGCCCCCAGGTGGGGCCTGGAGATCTCCCGCTTTTACAACTGATCTCTAGCTGACAGAGATCAGCTCCCCTGGAGAAAATGGCTGCTTTGAAGGGTGGACTCTATGGCCCTGTACCATGCTGAGGTCCCCTGCCCTCCCCAAACTCCTCCCTCTCCTGGATCCACCCCCAAAGTCTCCAGGTGTTTTCCAACCCAGACCTGACAACCGTACTTTCTCCGTGTGTGTAATGTCACACTGCTCTATCTGGGGCTCCCTCTGTGCGTGGCTTCAATCTCGGGGTGCCTGGCCAGCATGTGGAGTGGAGGCGAGTCTTGCTTCATCTCTTCTGGAGTGGGCCTTTTTATTCCAGAAGGCCATTGCATGATGGTTTCTGATTGCTTTCCTGCTCTTATTGGTCAGATGTGGTTGTTGCTGTTTAGTTTACAATATTGTGGGAATGGTGCTAGTTTCAAGTCACTGTTTTGGATGCTCTAAGCAGGCACAAAGGTAGCTAGTTGATAAGTCATTGCTAATTAAGATTGATGCACTGGCTGGTGAATCATAAGCTGTAACTCCTAAAACGGTTTCTCTGTGGAGGGATTCTGGATTTGTATGCATCATGGTTCTTTTTCCTTCTGGGTGTGCATTGGATTAAGGGGCAGGATTTTCTTAGTGGAGGGGGCTTGGCTTGATCATTTGCGTCACGGGTGCCTTTGGAGAGGATCCCACATCTGTGGCTTGCAGCAGGGCCATATTTACACACCAGCTAAGTAAACTGCAGTCCAGTGACTGAGATTGAAAGGTAATAATAAAGTGCTGTCAAATTAAAGCCAATTTATGGTGACTCCTCATGGGATTTTCGAGGGAAGAGATGAGTTCAGGTGGTTTGCCATTGACTTCCTTAGCATAGGAGCCCTGGTCTTCCTCAGAGGTATCCCATTCAAGTATTGACCATGGCTGACCCGTCAAGTTCTGACAAGCTTGGAGTAGTCCGAGCTGCTCAGAGTTTATAAGGACCTCAAAATACAGAAAATGTATAGAAAGCAGGTTTTTGGATAATATTATGGAGCCCCTTAATCTAAATATAATTTAGGGCCCTCGTATGTCTGAACTGAGCTGCGGTGGCTCAAGTGGTTAAGACGCTGAACTGCAGGCTGTGGAAGATCGGTAGTTCAGCAGTTCGAGACCCGGGTGCCGCAAGACGGGGTGAGCTCCTGTCTCTAGTTCCAGCTCCTGCCAACCTAGCAGTTCGAAAGCAAGAAACTGCAAGTAGATAAATAGGTACCACTTCGGTGGGAAGGTAACAGCGTTCCGTGCGCCTTGGTGTATAGTCATGCCGGCCACATGACCATGGAAACGTCTTCGGACAGTGCTGGCTCTTCGGCTTTGAAACGGAGATGAGCACCGCAACCCTAGAGTCGGACTCGACTGGCTTTCGAGCAAGGGAACCTTTACCTTTACCTTTTTATGTCTGAATTCAGCCTTGAATGCTTGAATCCAGAGGGCCATTCTTATGTGTGCCATCAACTCTTGTGCTGAAACTGTGGATTCAGGGCTGCCAACTTCCAGGGGGTGGCTGGAAATCTGGGATTTCAGCTGCTCTCCAGCCAACAGATCTGTTTCTCTGGAGAAAGCGGCTGCTTTGGAAGGTGGACTCTGTGGCATGATGTCCCACTGAAGTCTCTCGCCTCCCCAACCCCCACCTTCCCCAGACCCATCCCCCAAATCTCCAGGGATTTCCCAACCTGGAGTTGGTAAGCGCACTCTTCAGGCTGCAGGTGAGTTTAGTGTTGACGTCTGCCGCAACCCATTTGCCGCCCAAAGTGGTATAGTCTGCAAAAAGTTTCCCACATGAAGTTGTGTAACGTGCCCCTCCCTGGGGGAAAAGAATAGTTGGTAGATGCGGGTCAGAGCTGTACGTAACCCAAACCTCTCCCCCGAGAAGAGCCAAACCTGTATTTGTGCAAATTAAGCACACTTTACGGAAATGTCTATGTTGCCGCTCTTAATGACGGGGAGTGGCAGTGAGGTATGGAGCTCCATCCCAACTGCTGGAATTCCCACCCCACCCCTTTGGTGACCTCTCTTCAGGCCTGGGACAGCCCCATCAAGAAGACCCTCTTTGCCCTCACGGGGCCCAGACACTTTGCTTTCTTAACGTAGCAACGTCCCTACAGCAGGAGTCCCCAACGTGGGGCCCGTGGGTGCCATGGTGCCCGCCGCTACCTTTCCTGGTGCCCGCCAAGTGCTTTTAGAAAGTGGGTGGGGCTTTTGCCCGGGTTGCCAGGTCCTGCCTCCGATCTAGGGGGGCTCCCCCGGTTGGGATCTTCTGCCGCACACGTGATGACATCACCCAGAAGTGATGTCATCACATTGCTGACATTGGGGGGGTGATACTTTAGTTTGGGGGCAAATCCCTATGGTTTTTTGCCCTCAAAACCATCGGATTTGCCCCAAAACGAGAGTGTCACCCCCTGACATTGGCAACACGATGACATCACTCCCGGCTGTTCAGGGGTTCGGGCTCCCCCAAAATCCCCACCCCGACCGGGGGGGGGGGATGGCAACCCTAGCTTTTATCCAGAAGGGCTTCTGATTGGTTGTGCAGATTAAAAGGCATCCTATTAAGCAGGGCTTTTATCTGAACTGTGGAAGAGGTACTATTAGAGTTGTATGTAACCTCGTTTTCTGACATTTTGCGGTTGGCTCCGTCTCCTCAAGTAGCCCTTTTGTAATTTGCTCCACCTCCAGTGGCCACCACTTTATGACTGTGCCCCCACCACTCAGTGTCAGAATTCCAGTGGTGCCCACATGCTCAAAAAGGTTGGGGACCCCTGCCCTAGAGAAGGAGTTGTGCGCCCAGGGAGGTTTCCCAGAATTATGGAGTACAACCAGCCATGGCAACATTTCTTCTCTTAACTCTTAAAACCCGCTGCCTGAAGAACAAAACCAAACTAATTGTGTCAGGCTGACGTTTTAAAAGTGTGCTTAAGCAGTGCACTTAAACACTTCGTAAAGTTCTTTGCAAGGTAAAAAGCTCTCATTTGTTTGGGGCCAAAGGGATGGGTGATGGCAGTCACAGGGTTTGTGTCAGGGCCACATGGGAGAGGAAGAGGAGATTTAACCTTCTGAGCACTGCTATCTCCTGCTATTGAAATGCCTGAAGAACAAAACCAAACTAATTGTGTGAGGCTGACGTTTTAAAAGTGTGCTTAAACAGTGCCCTTAAACACTTCGTAAAATTCTTTGCAAGGTAAAAAACTCCCATTTGTTTGCAAATTCTTTGCAAGGTAAAAAGCTCTCATTTGTTTGGGGCCAAAGGGATGGGTGATGGCGGTCACATGGTTTGTGTCAGGGTCACATGGGAGAGGAAGAGATTTAACCCTCTGAGCGCTGCTATCTCCTGCTATTGAAAAAATACAAGTAAATGATAAATAATAATCAGATGCAGGTGCTAAATGCTGCAGAATGTGGCAATTTCCAAATATGTTCTGCTTCTGTTGCATTTGATCCCATTGCCACACCCAGTCTTTTGCCAAGACAGGATTTAATGAAGGCAACTTGGTCCAAAGTATGCATTGCTAGGGTTGAGTTGGGAAATACTTGGGGATTTGGAGATAAGTGTTTGGGAGGGGAGGGACCTCAGTGTTGTATAATACCATAGAGTCCACCTTCCAAAGGAGCCATTTTCTCCAGGTGAACTGAACCCTGTTGTCTGGGGAACAGGTGTAATTCTGGGAGACCCGCAGAGCCTGCCTGGAGGTTGGCAACCCTAGGCATTGCATGGTGGCTGTTGAAAAACTATCACTTTCAAAGCAATGGGCAGGTTTTGCATGTGTTTCTGCACATGTTCTATGTTTTGGACAGGGTTGCATACCTCCATGTGGTGGCTGGAGGACCCCCCTCCCACTATTACAATTGATCTCCAGGTGACAGTGATCAGTTCAACTGGAGAAAACGGGCTGCTTTGGAAGGTGGACTCTATGGCATTGTACCCCCCCCAAGGTTCCTCCCCAAATGCTGCCCTCCCCAGGCTCCACCCCCAAAACCTCCAGGTCATTCCCAACCCCGGAGCTGGCAGCCCTAGTTTTGGATCAGTGGAACAGTTTGAGCATGGCTGTTAAAACATCAATGGGAGGAAAGCAGGTCTTCTTGTGGCTTTGTCATGCCATCTCGGTACAACATGGGCAAGTTTGAAAGGCACCCTGCAGTGTGAATTAAATACTGGGGTTTTTGTGGTGTTCCTGGGGGGATTTTTTTTAGCTATGGTGTTAGGCACCTCTAAGAATGTGTTTCTTCTTCTGAGGACTTGAGGGGCAGGTTAGGCTTGGCAAATGGTCGAAATTTGTAGCCACTGCACATGGCAACTACAGGCTTTCAAGTAAGTAGTGGCTGGGGATCTCCTGGAATGACAGTTGACCTCCAGGCAACAGTTCCGTCCCCCTGGAGGAAAATGGCAACTTTGGAGGGTCATCTCTATGGAAATATATCCCAATTGAGTTCCCTCCCCGGATTCTGCCTTCCCCAGACTCTGCCCCCCTCCCCAAACCTGCCGGGATTTCCCAAACGAGAGCTGGCAACCCTCTCTCCCAAGTGACAAGCGATCATTAAGAGGCATGCAGCTCTGTTTCCCGTCCCAACTTCTGGGATGCTTTATCCTTGCAAATCACAGCTGTGGAAGTTCTCCCTTAACCGAGCCCTAACTTGGTGAACAAAGGAGAACCAAGCAGGAGACCAGACTGAAGCACAACAGTACAAAAGGCTAAATGGGTCTCTGATTCTGAAAGCTGGTCTGTATCATTCTGCAGAGCTTATAATCAGGCTTGTATTACTGCCACAGTTTTGTAGCAGCTGATGATATGTTGCCGGCTGCAGAATCTAGATTTCCCCCCTCCCCCCTAAATCTTAGCTTTCTTCAAAATGAATCAAGTTTCTAGTCTTGAAGACTGCAAAGACCAGTTTTGAAATGCCATCACTCCAGCTGTGCTAGTTACTTATATTTTTCCTGGACCCCAAATGTCAGTGGCTTGAAACCCCCGAAGGTCCTCCGTACATTCTAGAATTGGGCTTGCCCAATGCTCCCTTCTAAGCTGTGGAGTCTTGAGAGCAAAAATTCTACTTTGTGAGCCACTGGCATTAAAGTTGTGAATGAGCGATTTGGCTACTGCATCAGTTTGCTGTGGTGCCATCCTTCCTGAGCTAAGACAAAAACGTGTGAGCCGGAGGCTAAAAAACCTGTGAGCTAGCTCACACTGACTCAGAGGGAACACTCATTGCCACTTCCTGGTTGAGAAATTCCTGGAGGTATTGAGGGTTGGAGCCTGGAGAGACCATGGCTGGGAGAGGGGAAGGACCTCGGCAGGGTATAACGCCATAGACTCCACCTTCCAAAGCAGCCGTTTCCTCCAGAGGAGCTTATCTCTATAGCCTGGAGGTCAGCTGTCATTCTGGGAGATCTCCAGCCACCACCTGGAGCTTGACTACCCTATCCGAAGTGCTGTCTCTGGGGGTGTGCGTCCTCATTCCTTGCGGCCTCCCACTGCGTCCTCGTGCTGTAGTCTGTTGCTTCCCGGATTCGAGCCAAAGACGAGCAAGATGAGGACTCATCCTTGCTGTCTTGATGCTCCCAGTGTGTGAACTTTTCTCCTAGGAAATCCCTCCATCACTTAGCTTCTTCCTCTACATTTTTTTAAAAAATGCTTCTATATGAAAAAGGCCCTTGCTGTTTGGGGAGTAGGTTGTGGTGTTGGTTTGGTTTTCCTGCTGCGTTCTTTGTGTGCTCTTCTGAGTGATTTTTTTTTTTTTTAAAAAGAACGACTGTATGTTGTCTTGATGAGGGCTGTATGGCTGGAAAAGCATGAAAAAGAAATTCAAATCTCTGTGGGCAGTGCCAGGAGAACTCCTAGGAGCTGGAGACGTTGCTAAATGACTCCCAGTGTTCAGAGGGGGAAGGACTATGTCCTCTCTCCCCCCCCTCAGTCCTTTCCCCTTAAGTAGAATACATTATGCAAAATAAGAGTCAGCAAATTGCTTAACTGACACATTCTGGTTTCAAGATTTATTTTCCTTGCACTTTTATTTATCTCACCTTCCCTCCAAAGAGCTCGGAATGGCACACGTGGTTCTCGGTTGGTTTTGCTTTTTAATATTGATAAGTCTGCCTTTCTCCTGACTGTGTTGCTTCCCGCTCCTTGCCGTTTGAGGGGTTGGATCCTGGGACTTCCTTCCATTCCAGGCTGTTCATCATTATTCCCCATTGGAGGAAGTCTCTCCCCCCCCACCTCCCCCTGGAAGGAATTTCAAGCTTGTTCTCCCTTGGGCTAATCCCGCATCTTTTATTTGCTGGCTTTGAATCGGCTGTTGCAAATATGAATTAGCTTGGCACGGAATGTGACTTCTGCATGCAAAATACACAGTACCCTAACGAGGGATGCAAGCTCTGGTTCGGGAAATACCTGGAGGTTTTGGGGGTGGAGCCTGGGGAGGGCGGGGTTTGTAGGGAGGCATAATGCCATAAATTAGGGTTACCGTATTTCTAAAAAGCAAAAAAGAGGACATATTTCCCAACTGACTACTTCAAACAAGTGATCACTATGACAAAGCTTATTTGAAAAATACCCCTACTATTTAAGCTGTGATAATTATTACCAACTAGGAATATTCCAAACTTTCCAACCTGAAAAGAGGGCATTTTCATCAGTTTTTTTTTTAAAGAGCCCAAAAGAGGTTGGACACCAAAAAAGAAAGGTATTTCCTCCAGCAACCCTCCCATAGAGTCCGCCCTCCAAAGCAGCTATTTTCTCCAGGGGGATCTCCGTCACTAGGAGATCCGTTTTAATTCTGGGAGAGCTCCAGATACCCCCTGGAGTCTGCCAACCCTAACCCTGCTGCCAGAAACCCTGCCCCGTGCTTTCTCTGCAGTGCAGCTCTTTTTTTGGTAGGATAGTCCTTTTGCTCTTTGGCAAAAAAACCTGAAAAGTATCCGAAGGAGCAGTGACTCCCGAAAGGTCATTCCGCTGCCACAAATTTTGTTAGGCTTTAAGGTGCTCCTGGGCCCTTGCTCTTTCCTGCTGCTACAGGCAGACGGACACGGCTGCCCATCTTGAGCAACAGATACGTTTGATTTGTGTGTTGGAAACCATTTCTGCTCCTTCTGAACATTGTTTCTTTTTGATCCTGGCCATATTCTGCCTTTTGGAAGCGCTGACATGACGTTCGCTGTCTCTCTTGTGTTTTTGCCTCTGTGCGCCCTGCAGACAGATCTGCAAAGAATTCACCGACCTCCTCACTCAGGACAGAACCCCTCTTGGGAACGCAAGGCCGAGCCCGATCTTGGACCCTGGCATCCAGGGCTGCTTGACTCACTTCAGCCTCATCACGCATGGCTTCGGGAGCGCCGCCATCTGCGCCGCCATGACGTCCGTCCAGAACTACCTGAACGAAGCCCTAAAAATTGCAGACAAAACGTACATGAACGCAGGGGACCAGAGTCCCGCAGAAACCAACAAAAGCATCGAGAAGATGGATAAGCATCGGAAGTGAGTGCGCGAGAAAGGAGCCAGTCTTTCTAAACCGTTCTCCCAAATATAGGACTTTAAAAAAAAAAGATTTTCACGCCTGAGGGGCGTGTAGAAATCTGTCACAAAACTTTGGGGTGTTTTTTTTTTAATTGTTTTTGTTGAAAGCCTCCTGGTTTTGGATCCTCCGTGAGATACATCTCTCTCTCTCTCTCTTTCTCTAAAGCTGCTGTTATCCATTCATTGTGGGACCAGGTACCAGAAGGTAACATGGACTCGAGCTTTGTTTTTAAGCAGTACAAAGTGTGGTGCTATCTGGGGAGGGTGGGGGGGAAAGGGAAGAAGTTAATGCGGTGTTTCGAGATGCTGCGGGAGGAGATCCATCCCGTCTTCTGTGCGCACTTGTCTGCCTCTCATATCGACTACATCCAGCAGGGCCCTGCACATGCAGGCGACTCGTGGAACATGGCAAACACGATGACTACATGGGACATGCGCACGGATTGCCCTCTCTGGACCATACTTAGGTGCATTGCAGAGCCCTATGTGCACTTAGCTGGGGGCGGAGGGAGGAGTTAAAGGGGCTTTGTCAAGCCCTGCGTGGGGCTGTGAGTAGAGGGGTGGATGGTTCGTGCCCATTCAGCTTTTGTTTCAGAAGACCCTCAAGCTTCTGACCAGCTGGGATGCTTCCGGCTCTCAAAACGTTTCAGGATGCTATCTGGAAGCCAGCCGTAGCACAGAGTAACAGTAGTAACCCCAGGGTCTCTGAACTTCTGGCAAAATGCCCGGGACTTGTAACCTAATTGAAATATCCTAGGAGACGCTTAATGTAAAAATTACTTCTTTTTTTAAAAAAAATTATCTGGTGGTATTTTGAACGCTTCTTGTGGATCCCGGTGAGAGAGCTTTAGACTTCTGAGCCCGATCCAGGAAACGTTGCTACAACATACCTGAATGGAAGCGAGGTTTGGGGCAAGACTTCAATGAACTTGGCAGGATTGAAGTGGAAAGTGGCAAGGCTTTTGATGCAAGGATGCAACACCCCCCCCAGCCCCCAGTTAAAAGGGGAAAAAAAGTTTTAGAAACTGACATCCACTTTAAAAAAATCCAGGATACTGCAGGATACTGCAGCTTTATACACTATCTGTGTTTTTAAAATGGGAAGAAAACTTGAAAAGCATAGGCACATAATTTTTTAATGACTTTTTGTTTTTGCCTACACAGGCCAAAAAATTATATATAAATATATAAATATATCTATCTATCCAGGGAAGTTTTATGTGTATAAGGGAAAGCGAGTGTGTTGAATGTACATACTTATTTATGTTGTAATTTAATGGGATTTGTAAATAATGGTGAACTTTTTAATACTTTTTTTTTATAAATGGGCTTCGCATTTAATTTCCCCCCCCCAAAAAAGGTAATGGGTAAAGTTCGGTATATTGCTAAGTTTATGCACAGGTCAGTTTATGCTGGGTATTTAAGACTTTTTACAAAAAAAAAAAGTGTCTCTATTCTTTCCACTGAAGATTAGATAGAATCTGAGGTGTTTGTCGACAAAGCAATAACTTTGTGTATTAGTAGCAATCTGAAATGAGTGTGTGAGGTATGGTATGTCTGCGGGGAGGGGGGGCAAGAAATCATGAAAGACGTACAATCCCGCCCTCCCACCCCGTACCCCAGGTTGTAAATGTTTCCCTATCACCATGCTGTTGTATAGGATAACCATAATAAAAGTATTCTGGATAGAAATATTTGATTCTTTTTTTCTTCTTCTGCTTTGTTGGAAAACGCTTTCTGTGAGTTGGGTGGGAGATCTCCAGGCTCTACCTGGAGGCTGGCAACCCTAGGAACTCTGCAGGTGGAAGTCCTCCCAAGAGAACACATTTATTCCATGAACAGAACTAAAATAGGATGAAAAGAACCGGGTATTTCTTCTCAGCCTCTGACTAACACATGAAACTGCCTTATAACTAACCAGACCCTGGGTCCATCAGTATTGTCTACTCAGACTGGCAGTGGCTCTCCAGGGTCTCAAGGCAGAGGTATTTCTCATCACCTACTGCCTGGTCCTTTTTTAACTGGAGATGCTGGGAAGTGAACCTGGGACCTACTGAGCCATGACCCGTCCCCCATTTATCAAAGCTGCAAATTGAGTTAATTTGAAGCCAGTTTGGTGTAGTGGTTAGGAGCGCAGACTGTGATCTGGGAGAACCGGGTTTGATTCCCTACTCCTCCACATGCAGCTGCTGGTGTGACCTTGGGTCAGTTACAAGTTCTTTCAGAGATGTTCTCGAAAGAGCTCTCTCAGCCCCACCTTCCACACAGGGTGTCTGTTGAGGGGAAGGGAAGGGAAAGAAGATTGTAAGCCACTCTGATGAGACTCCTTCGGGTAGTGAAGGGTGGGATATAAATTCAATCTCTTCTTCTTCTTGATTTGTTACACATGATGTATTTAGAAACTTTTGATCGAATAACCTCCCTCCACCAATATCTGAGAAGGCAACCCATTTTTAAAAGTTATTTTTAAAATGATGGTTGCCTTCTTAGAAGAGGCATGCTCCTGTATAGGTGTAGAGTGCCTCTTCTAGGCATGACTCATTTTCAGATGAGGCCTGCAGCTGTTAGAACAAAGCGGGTGTTCCTTCCTTCATGAACAAATGCAATTGATTAAAACTTGCATGACTAATCAACTAAGATGCCTTTAATCAGCTGAAGTTCTACATAGCAGGTTGGAAGCGGGGGAGGGGGATGGAATTCCAGCTGTTCTGTGCACATCCACCCTTTTCCAGAGGGGGCCCCCCCTGTTTGATGTATTGACATTTTTCTGTAAAAAAGCGTGGCAGATCCCCACAAGGAAACTGCATCATGGAAAGAATCGCTAACAGTTTCTGTCCCGCATAACCATTTCCACCCCTTTTCGGCTCCAACCAAATGTGCAAGAGACTTTTGATCATGCTACAGTACAATATTTCAAGTGAACTGAACAAAAACTGTTAAGCTTGCCTTTTATTAAAGCTTCCAGCCAGGCACTGTGGTCATTCCCCTTCTGGGAGAGAGAGGATAAGCATATTTCCAATTTTATTTCAGCAACATGTGCCCAGACAAGGCCTGTTGGGGGTCTGGCAGTGGGCCTTAACTAGTGCTCTGTGATGGATGTGCATCAGCATAGGGGGAAGTCATTTCCATGACTTTACTGTGCATGGCTGGACTTATGATAGGAACTGTAACACTGCGATGGCTAGTTCCACACTGGAGAGACTTCATCTTTGTTCTGCACCTTCACTATGAGGAAAGGCTGAAGAGTCTGGGACTTTTCAGTTTAGAAAAGAGATGAATAAAGGGGGGGGAGATATAAAGGTTTAGAAAAGTTATGCATGGGGGGTGGAGGTGAAGAGAGTCGACAAAGAGGAACTTCTCCCTCCCAAAATACTAGAACTCAAGGGCATCTAGTGAAACTGGGCAGTGACAAAGGGAAATACTTCTTTACACAAGAGTGTGATTAAAATGTGGAGTTTGCTGCTAGAGGATGTAGTAATGGGCCCAGAGGCACAGAAGGCTTTAAAAGAGGATCAGATAAGAGAGGCCTATCAGGGGCTACTAGCCACAGTGACTGAGGGGAACCTCCACATTCAGAGGCACTAAACCTCTGAATCCCAGAGCCAGTGGTCAACATGAGGGGAATACCTCTCCCTCTAAGCTCTGTTGTTGGCCCTTCAGAGGAACTGGTTGCCCACTGTGTGAGAAAGGATGCTGGGCTACATGGACCACTGGTCTGATCCAGCAGGGCTCTTCTTATGTTCTCCGTCTTCATTTTGAAAAACAGTAGGAGCAGCCTTGCTAATTCAGAATAGATTTTCTTTTACCATAATTGGATGTGCATGGGGGTTTTCCAATCCTTCTGTAATGCATCCCTACAATAATTTCACCATGGGGTTAGGGTGGCTCTGTTCCCCCATAAAGTAGATCATGTGACTCTCTCCAGCTGTGCAGTTCTTTTGCCCTGTGGGGTACAGTGAACTTCCAAGGAGCTCACAATGGTCTTTGAGGTCCATCCTCATCCGTTTTATCCTCACGCAACAGTTCAGTGAGGTCGGTCAGGCTGATGACACACTGGGACCAAGGGCCCCCAGTGAACTCCACGGCAGATGAAAGAGATGAAAACAAGTTCCCTCTGTTCCTAATCTCTCTAACCACTCCACCATTCTGGCTCTTTTGCCCTCACACATGAACACATGAAACTGTCTTATACTCAATCAGACCCTTGGTCCATCAAAGCAGGGGTCATTTTGTAGAAAAAGAGCTAGGGGGACTCATTAGCATAACTCATTAGCATATGCCACACCCCCTGACATTACCGGAAGTGTGTCCTCCCCACAGCTGGCGGCGACCTCCAGCGGGCACCAGCAGGGAGCTCCAGGCCCCGCCCTCCCGCACCTCACCCGGGGGGATGGCGTCCCCCCGCGTCCCCCCCCAAATGACCCCTGAAAGTTAGTATTGTCTACTCAGACTGGCAGCAGCTCTCCAGGGTCTCAGGCAGCTGTCTTTCATGCCACCTACTGCCTGGCCCTTTTAGTTGGAGGTGCCAGGGACTGAACCTGGGAACTTCTACACACCAAGAAGATTCTCTACCATTGAGCCACAGCTCAGTTTGTGTCACGTCCAAGCCTACCTTCTGCAAGTATAAGACCCTCCTTCTTTTGGGCTTCCTTTGTATTGCTCAGTCTCAGGGTTGGATCCCATGGAAGATGTGTGCACAACAGACCTTGTTCGAGTGGAAATAACTGCATCCCACTATCTTTCCTGCGTGCTCAAGTCGTCACACAAGTTATTCTCATGCAATTTCAAAACCAAAAGAAATGAAATCATATGAGCAGTCCACTGTACATTCCGCATGCACATTGTTTTGTGGAAAGAAAACTAAAAGTTGATGAGTTGCTGCAGCTGTTGTGCTATTGCTTGCACAATTGGAACTGTGGCAAGTAACACTTTGCCTTTTGCTCCCTTGTCACTGGATCCAATCCCTTCTTTGAGCTTACTCTTTAAGTCCTATTGATTGTAAAAGGAGAGATAAGCAAAGTCTTTAAACTCACCCTGTTTGAATCCACGGCTCATGTGCTTCACCTTAACTGGTCTATGGTGGTAATACTATCTAGTCCACACTTGAGCATCTCACCACACATACATGCGCATGTTCAAGCAAATTGCTTCCATTGAAAAGCCTCGTGTCTGAAGCAATGCTTCAAGTTTTGCCTGTGGTGGTTGACCTGCAATGATAGATTTGAACATGAAAGTTAATACTGGTCGCTTTGGTCACTGAACTTGCATGTGTGAATGGGTTTTTTGGTAGTATTGCTTGTGAACTTGGGTGGCCTTGGGCTCACATCCCCACTGACAGCCTAATCCAGAAGTGTTGAACTCATTTGTTATAACGGCTGGATCTGACATAAATGTCACTGTCAGGCCGGGCCATGTGTGCCATAAACTATAAAGCCAGGTACTGGAGATACAAACTTTATAAAAGACACAGGAGAAACCCAATTAATGATATAATTTTTTACTCAGAATGCAAACATGCTTAAAACATCAACACTCTGACAGTATTTCCTTACAGACTCTCCCTGATGCCCGCCCTCCCACTTCCACCTCCCATTTCTCATTAGCACTGGGACAGTAGACAGGGACACAAGGAGAGCCAGTTTGGTGTAGTGGTTAGGAGCGCAGACTCTAATCTGGGAGAACCGGGTTTGATTCCCCACTCCTCACATGCAGCTGCTGCTGTGACCCTGGGTCAGTCACAAGTTCTCTCAGAGCTGTTCTCTCAGGAGCAGTCCTCAAAAGAGCTCTCTCAGCCCCACCTACCTCAAAGGGTGTCTGTTGTGGGAAGGGGAAGGGAAAGGAGATTGTAAACCGCTCTGAGACTCCTTCGGGTAGTGAAGGGCGGGGTATAAATCCACTCTCCTCTTCTTCACAAAGCATAGCCTCTGTCATCTGGCAGTAAAGGTAATGATCAGTTGCTCATAGGCCAGATAAGAGCCCTAGATGGGCTGGTTCAGGCCCGTGGGCTGTATGTTTGATACCCCTGGCCTAGTCATACATTCAGGTTGGGTCTGCGTCTACTGTATGGACTTCCAATCAGATGTGCACTGCCATTCCTCACAGGGAACTCACATAAGTGCCAAGCTTGCATCAGGACCTGCCATGCAGCAAGAAGGGACTAAAGCCTTCCCTCCCATGCCATTTTCCCCACCTGAAATGGCCCTGTAGTTGCTATTTGCTCCATGGGGAAAATGTATGTATCTATACTCCCTCGATACAGGGGGAGCCCTCAATGGGGCAAATAGCACCCCTCGTGGCTGTTTCAGTTCAGGAAAATGGCACAGGAGGAAGGCTTAAGTTGGTTTCCCCAATGTGCCCTGGTCCTCATCTGAATTGGGCTCCTGCACAGGCCCATAGCCAGAAATGTTTTGTGGGGAGGGGGAACAAGGGGGCAGCTTAGTGCAGTGGAGCTGACAGCACAAGAGGGCGGGGGGAGGATGAGTAAGGGTGTGAGGGAAGGAGAGTCAGGCATGGGGGAGGCGGGGTGGAGGGTTGCTAGAACAGGATGAGTAAGCTCGCCTGTGGAGGCCATGGCACTTTTGGCCTCTAACCTGACCTTGCTGAGCCAGG